TTAAGAAGTCGGATGGGCTTTTTTGATTTACAATTGACTGTTTATTATGCATTGGTTTTTAATCACTGAGAGAGAGGAGAAAAACTAAACAAGACGTAATACTAGTAGCATAAATACAGAGCATAAGTAAGAAGAAAAACAGGAAACAACACATGTGCTGGTTATCTTTGGTGCTCAGTTAACTTCAAATGTCAGTGAGCTATTAACCGTTGTCGAGCACAAAACAAAGTTAATATCCTCTCTATACGCTGTCTTGATCTCCTCCTATCAAGGCTCTCTCGCATCTGTTGTTGTAGACTGATTGAGAGAATCGTCAATGGGTTACATAACCTAACATAATCGAAACAGGAATGTAATTTATTAGTTAAATATCTATTATGAAGAAGACTTATAGCCACGAACACGAGAAAAGATGCGCTTAATCTCAGCCAACGAAGATTTAGAACAATCTGCGCTCTCTTTTCGGACTTCACAACAGAACTTTCACAACTTCAATGTTTTCATCCTTACTACAATCTTCAGTCATCCTCTATCAAATGCTACATAAATGACTGATTTTCATTGTTGATTAGTATTTTTAATAAAACGAACTTTGGCATTCCTTAGCAGAAACAATTCCTTGTGTCTCTTTGTTTGCATGCTAAAGTCCGCTGACCACAATGGCGATTTTGCCTTGTGAAAGAAGCCTCGGAGATAAATCATGAACCTCGTTCATCATTAACTATGATCAACTTCTAACTTTTGGTCCAGTTCACAGGGAAATAAAATTTCCAATATATACATAGTGTCCAGAAAGTCATGAAGCAGCGCTACAAATTGAATATCTCAACCACACTCTAACCAAATGAGCCGATTTTTTTCTGAGAATAAGGAATAGTTCCAGGTTTTTATTAATAAATAAACAGGTTATTCATTCATATGAAAATCATACCACCAAACTCGTATACTATATATCTTTGAATAACGAATGTCTATTCAAAAACAAAATAGACATGAGTATTTTTGCAATGATTCAAGGACGAAAAGAGCTATGGAACTGCGTTTTTCATCCATCGAAAGAGAAGGCAGCAGGACGTTTTTTCTACAACATTACATAGAATGAAATCATTTTCAAGTCAATCATTTCTGTAAAACATTGCAAAAAACGCATGACAATAGTCTGCCATTTTAATGAACTTTGGTTTTGATATGTGATTTAGATGAGACGACTTCAGATCTATAGTTTAAGATGTAAGTCAAATGACTATTTTCAAACATTCCAATGTTAAGCAAATAAAACTATCTGTTTGCTCGCACGAAAATCTGGAGTTCTCGTAATCTTTAAGTAAACTTTTCTTGCTTTTTCTCATTATTTCATCTGTATAAAAGTCGCTATTCAACGTGTAAAATTTATATTTACCTTAAAAATCTTCAAACGTCGTCAAATTATAAAACTGCTTATTATTGAAAGCTTTTGCGAGAGGCACTTTCTATTACGTATATAGCATTTCTTCACAGGCACTCCTACGATACTTTTTACAAACAGATCTTTTTCTTTAACGCACCCCCGTTACAGTCAATGTTTTTCTCTTTCACACCCCCATTCCTAACAGCCTTTGAACTTTAAGACACTACGTTAGAAAAAAATATCTATTAAATAATTGAGCTGCTATGGCGAAGTAAAACGTGTCCATGCCGTTTGGCGTATAACGAAGGCTGAAGGTTGATCAAAACAGAAGAACGGATGAAAAGTAAAGGTCTATAGGACAGAAAAAAGTAAGAAGAAAGAATAACAGTGGAGAAAAAAAAAATAAGTAGAAAGAAGGACGATAAAAGGATAAAACAGCAAAAAATAATAGAAAAAAAGAGAAAGAAAGACAGTAAGGAAAAACGCAATAGAAGGAGAGGAAGGAAAATGGCACCGAAGGAAAAAATGAATTAAAAAAAAGAGAACAAGAAAGACGGATAAGAAAAAAGAATATGCTAAAATTAGACTGTTCTGTTGTACTTGACTTCATTGACTTATTACAGAAGTCTTACAGTTATATCCGAGCTCAAATCATTACTCTTTAAATAAAAACAAAGGCATAATACAGACTTCTATAAATAGGTTGATTTTTGTACTGGTAGCGAGCAGATCTCAGATTTTTTTGCTTCTAACGATAGTGATATCTGTAGTCTTCGTCTAAAGAACAATCTAATTGTAGTTTTGTGAGAGATTCCTGCGCGTTTGATACTATTTCATTCACAGCCGATATGATCTTTACTTTCGCTTCGCCGCTCAAACCATCAAAAACTAGAACACATGATGCATCTTACGCCGTTTTAATAACAGTTTCATCACTATAAAATGGTAACAGAAATTCAGAATATAGAAATTTTTCACGATGAAGCGAGCATATTGTATTTTTCATGTTTAATAAGTAAACAATATATTTTTATATGAATCTAACCATACCATTAAATTAACATCTTTCTTTGTTAGATCCGTAATACGTTGTTATGCATAGAAGTTCATTTGTGAAGAAAACACACACGCACACTTTTACATAGAAAACCGCAGGTATTTATACTATTTAGCGGTTAAGCGAATATGGATCATTCCTATTGATGACATAATACAATCGGAAAAATACCTGAATCATTACATCAAATTAAGATGATAGTAAAGTAAAAAACCAAGAGACAACACTAGGAAAAATACTTGACAGAATGAAAGACAGAATGAAAGACAGAGAGAAATATAGATGACATCATTTACATATAAAGAAAGAAAGAGAATGAACACATATGGATAATTCCTTTAGGAATTATAATTTTCAAAATCTGTTACAATCTCGATTTCATCAAATTTGATTTAAAGATTTTAATCGACTATAATTGGTTACGTTATTTTTAGTCGAATTTCATCGTAACGACGATAGTACATGTTTTTGTTGAGTTCCATTTCATAAATTTCAGTTTCCTATTCTTTTTTTTAAACTCCTTTCGTCGACAACTGGTAAATATAGTACCAGATCGATCTCAGACACATGCAACAATTCGAGATGCAACATTAGAGAACGGGCACTTGTCGACGCGGGAATGCGCATAGATTAGATCCAGAGTCCTGCGGGGTAGAGTAGAGTTAGGGTAAGAAATCTTAGGATAGGGTATAGTGACTTTGCAGATTTCTCCGACATTTTTCTAGAGTCGAAGACCATCCAGAAAGGTATCTCAGTGTAAATAAATTGGATAAAGCAAGTATGATTGGTCAATATTGTGTTTCCCCTACATACAGTTGCCCTTGGTTACCAATCGGCGCGATATAGAAATTGATTGCTGTACTTTGCAATCGTTGTAGTTCATCTAAAGCTTTGCTGCAAGCGTATATCTCTAAAACTAGACCAATAACATGTTAAAAAGTTTACAGTAAAATAGCTCTTACACTATATCAATATGTGAGTCCCATATTTTAGTCTCAAAGGGGCTACACTGACAAGCTTTTTTATTTATCTCGTAATATCACACGATGAATTGAATAATCTCTAATTGTTCACTAAAAGTCAGTAGATATAAGACAATATATTCGTAAATCATCGCGACAAGTGATTAATGACAAGAAGAAAGATATATTAAGTTGATTGAAAAAAGAAAAATTAATTACGACAAAAGAAGTTGCACCGTCTTCGAATGATAAATTCTGTTCTAGTATATTGAGAGTCGCAAATTTGAATGGTACGTGTCAATTTGAGTCGCTCGTTCAATGCAGTGTATGCCTGCATATCCCACCATATGGGCCAAAAATAGAACAAATTTTCTTAACTAACATGTTCAGGACTGTGATAAGAAAACGGCGGTTTCGAAATTACCATTGTCAATTGAAAAATATATGATGAAAAGATGTGATTGTGTCTTCGTAAGATTAAAAAATAATTTCATTCACTTGTTCTAAATATTGCACGTTTGATATGAGCTCATTTGATAGCGTAAAAAGCGATGCTTTTCGACAATTATGTCAAGTATTAATGGGTACTGGCTACAAATATGGTGCATCGAATGTTCAGATACTCTTTCCACTAGATCTCTATTACGAATCCTACAACTATCTCAAGAAGAATTCAGTACTGGGCAGCTGAGTATCAGGAGAAATTGATGAGGGTTTCGAAAGAAAATTAAACAAATGTGAAACAACGAAAAAATCTCCATATTCATAGGGTGTGGGTGGATGTGGGTTGTGGGTGTGGGGCGGATGTGGGCGTGGGTGTTGAAGTGTATTCTGATCCATACCCAAACTCACACCCACACCCCACATATAGACGAAAATGTTTTTCTATACTGTATGTATAAAATCGAAATAGACATTCAACACCATATCTATACATAAATAGTAATATTCAATTTTTTTCTTATTATTTTTCATAAAAACAATTCATTTATATGCCGATGATCAGTTTTAGTATCTTCAACAGCATATTGTTTAAATTCATTGTACATATGACGATTAAAATTTTTACATAAGAAAAATGACTAAAAACGATAGAGTATATTCATTTCCATTGATTGACCAGGGCCAAGTTTAACGCGTTCTAGAGATTAGATCATTACAGAAAACAAAATGTATTTTATTTGTAAATCAACATAACTCTAGATTATAAATATTTTCTATGAAATAATAAAGTTTGGCGATTAGTGAAACTTAGTGCTTTTAATCATTGATGATTATTTTATTGCTTTTCAAATTTATCATGTAGATAAGAATGATAGTATTTATTAAAACAACTCCATAGAAGAGTAAAATCTTTGTTTTTTTTTGAAAATTATAGCAACAGACATATTCTCAATTATCTATTTAAATAAGAATATAAGTCTTTTTAGACTCTGATTTTTACTGGAGAGCAGTTTTCACTGTTGTTTTTAGATATGTTGACTCTTCTTTAGTCACTAAAAGACTCGTTTTTTATACGTTCAATGTAACATAATTTCAATCTTTTTTTTACTAGTAGCTTGTTTCTCTCGAAATATTGTAAATATGTACTGAACTAATAATCTTTTTTTTTACTATCAAGACATTCTTGTTTATATTTAAGATAAACTTGTTGAGTAAAACCATTTTGTTGTAAAAGTGTATGAGATGGATGTTGAAATTGAGGAATTACCACCGGTGTTGAACCATAAAAATCATATGAATTTGAATTATTTCCATGCCAATAATGTGAATCATTGTATGATGATGAATATTGATCATAGAAATCTTGTTGTCGAGTTCTAAATAAGTAAAACTCATTTTATACTAATAATAATTGACATTCAATTGTTTGTATTAGGAACAAAAAATATAAGAAAATTCGTCGAAAAAACAATAAAGCAACACAAGTTAGTTTTTTACTATATCCATTTACCTTACCCATATTGAACGATAAGAAAAATGATCTTATTAACTGTAATAAGTAAAGTGAAAGCAAAACGTTTAGAAACGCAGTATTTTTTACTTCTTTTCTTAACGATAATAACTACTATCCATTTCAAAATATATTGTGCTCCGTTGTTTTTTAAATAACTTT